ATGGCGGGCCCGCGGGCCGCTGCGTCGGGCGGCGCCGGGCCAGGCCGTCCCGCGCTGGAGCTTCGGCCGCGGTGCCTCGGCGGGGGCCCGGGCCGTCCGCGGGCGGCCGCCGTTGCTGGGGGGGCGGACGGCCGCCGCGTGGTGCGGGCGCTGGTCTGGGCGTCGGTGGCGTTGCGGGCCTTTGGGCGGGAGGGTCTGCCCTTCGCAGAGGAGGATGGCGGCACATGTGTCAGCTTCCACAGGCCCGGCAGAACCCTCATGTATAAGGACACGGCGGTCTTTCCTGTCGGCATCTCCATCCCGTCGGAACTCGTTCAGGGCGGAGTGCCTGGGAAGGTGCGCACCACCGCTGGTTTCGTCGGCAGCAGGCTTGGCGGCGAGGCCGCGCAGTACAAATTCGGCCCGACGGAGGAGGACCAGTACCATGCCTTTTACGCCAGGCACCGTTTCGCTGTCACGCGCAAAAAGGGCGGATGGGACTCCCTGAGGCACGCAGAGATCTTGGCCGCAGGTTCGGTGCCGCTCTTTCAAGGCCTGGCCAGCGCCCCGCCGTTGGCCGTGCCGTTCGTCCCGCGCGCAAGGCTCCTCGAAGCCGAGCGGCAGCTGATGCCGTACTCCAAGCGTCTGGAGGCGGTCTACAATGCAACCGTGCGAGACCTGCTCGCACACACGAGGCGGTGCCTGACGGCCGAGTCCATGGCGGCTGGCGTGCTCCGGACTTTGGGCGTCTGGCCCGCCGAGAAGCCGCTCAGGCTGCTCTTCGTGACGTGCGGCTGGGGCTTCACTGGGCAAGGCGACGGTTGGCAGGGTCCCGTGAGCATCGGCTTGTTCCTGGGTCTTCATAGTTTGCTCCGCAAACTTCCAGGCTCCCGCATTGTCGACGCCCCCGCGCTGACGGCCAGCAACGATAGCGAGCACCCGGGAGACTCGTGGGACTCGAGTGGCCGCAGGACCTCGAGCATGGGGTCGCGGTCCGCCTTCTGGTACTGCTTCCAGCGGGCCGCCGGCTGCAGGCTCGAGGAGACCCACGCGAGGGAGTGGATGTACGGCTTCGGCTTCTCCTACGCCCGCCGGCTGCCGCTGGATGTGGCGGCCACGCGGGCGGAGCGAGCTCGAGTCCGCTGGGACATCCGGCGCCACGCCTTCGACGCCATCATCTACGGCAAGGTCGGGCCCGCCCAGGGCTGCGACCCCCTGCCGTTCCTGGACGGCGCGCTGGAGGCCGGCTACCCGCCCCAGCGCATCGCGCTCATCTATGGGGGCGATTTCGGCCTGGCGGAGAAGACGGGGCGAGTCGCGGAGCACGCGCGCCTGCTCGGCCACGTCGGGAACGTGTTCTTCAGAGAGATGGACCAGCCCGACCTGTCCCACTTCAAGTGGCTCCCGCGGTCGGTCTGGCCGCCGTCCTGCTACCTGGACCGCGAGTGGCGTGACTTCTTCAAGGTGTGGCAGTCGCGCCCTCCCGGGTGCCGGGGCTGCCCGGATGTGGACGGCGCGATCATGAGCCTTTGGCCCTCCCTTCGGGAGAAGGTGGCAGCGGACGTGTGAGGGGGATGGGGCGGAGCAGGAGGAGGAGGAGGATGCTGACAGCTGAAGGCACGAGGCGGTCCAGGACCGTTGCAAGCAATGTGGTTCAATATTGGCGAGGCGTTGTGAATAGACATATATCTCTCTATATATACATGTATGTATGCATGTACTTCTGTATGTATGTAGGTAGGCAGGCAGGCAGGCAGGTAGGAATGTATGCAGGTATGTGTGCATGCATGTATGTTGTGTACGTGTGCGTGTGCGTGTATGCGTATGCGTATGTGTACGTGTATGTACATGTGTATGTGTATGTGCACTAGTATGTGTGTATAGGTGTATGTGTACGTGTACGTGTATGCATATATTTATTTTTGTATGCATGTATGTATGTACGTACACACGTATGCATGCATTCATGATTGTATGCATGCATATCTGTCTGTCTGTCTGTCTGTCTGCCAGTCTGTCTGTCTGTCTGTCTGTCTGTCTGTCTGTCTGTCTGTCTGTCTGTCTGTCTGTCTGTCTATCTGTGTGTATGTATGTATGTATGTATGTATGTATGTATGTATGTATGTATGTATGCATGCATGCATGCATGCATGCATGCATGTATGTATGTATGTATGTATGTATGTATGTATGTATGTCTATCTATATTCTGATTCCCATTTTTTTACAAGCCCAGGCGGGGGGACCCCCCCAAAAAAAACCGGACTCCCGGGATCTGGGGCTTTGGGACCCTCCGGACGGGCCTCGAAGCGGCCCCCCGGGCCTCGCAGGACGTTTTGCCAAGCCTTCCCAGCACACCTAGGGCGATCAGGGGGGTCATCGGAGACGTCTCAAAGACCCCCAAGACAGCACAAGAGCGCTCCAAGAGTGACCGACGTAAACCTCAAGATGGCCCAAGAGGCCTCCAGGACGGCCCCAAAGAGGCCTCCAAGAGCACTCCCAAGAAGGCCCCAAGAGGCAACAATGATTGTTTTTCTGTTGGTTCTTGGTGAATTTTGGAGTTCTCCTCTTTTCGGCTTCCCGATGCTCCAAGACGGCGGTCTTCTGAGCGTCCGAAGCCGCCTGGGAGGCTCCCAAATCGCCCGACAACCATCCGAGAGGCTTCTAGGTAGTCCAAGGGAGCCCCAAAACGGCACAACACGGGTCCAAGATGGCCTTCAGAGAGCCCCATGGCGGCCCAATATAGCCCCAAGACACCCTCCGAAGCATTCCAAATCGTGACCCGGTCGTTCAGGGAGACCGCGGTTGGAGGCAGGGTGGCCCGAGGAAGCCCCCAGAGGCCCCCAGAATACGCCCAGGAGGCCTCCAGAAGGCCTTAAGAAAACCCGAAACAACCTTTGCGAGGCCCCCAGAGGCTCTCCAAGGAGGAGCCTCCGCAAAAAAGAGCTGAGGAGGATGGGGAGAATGCGCAGGGCATGGCGAACATGAGGAAAAAGAAGCATGGAGGAAGGATAACGAATAACATTATTATAGCGGCGATGCCGGAAAAGGCAACAAGGAGTTATCGCTAAATTGTCGGTTTGGCCTTCCTGCTATTCCGCCTGCATGCCAAACTTCAAGAACCAAGGTGCATGGCGCGAAGCGCCACTGCAGTCTTGTATGTCTATATAAATATAGGTATGTTTTCATGTGTGTATGCATGCATGTATGCTTACATGTAGGTATGCGTGTGTGTATGAGTGTAGTGCAATCTCGCTATGATTCGTGTTGCCTCCTCTCTCTCTCACTCGTCCCCTTGTTCTCCCTGCCTGTGCTCGTGCTGCTCTCACCTGTGCTCCCCGCTGCTGTTTTGGTCCCGTGCAGGGCCCTTGAGCTTACTGGCGCGAGACGCCCACCGTGTGCACCCGGTGACAGAAAGATATCTTATCGTGCCTGTGAATGGGCACCATCTCCACTACACATCAATAAACACGTTTATTGATTTCATCTAATCGAATTGGTAGCGTACAGCGACTTTCTCTCGGACGCTGCCAATGTCTGGACGAGGGACTCCCACCGGGAGCCAACGAGGCTCCAGAGGCCGACGCAGCGCTGATGGTGAAAACGATGACGAGTATGAACAGCCTGATTTACCTGCGACGGCCAAGGGCAAGACCAAAGGTCAGGACCCGCTCAATCGACCTCGTGGCAACTTACCGCCCCCTCCAGAGTTCAGCGGCGAGTTGGACGACCCAACGGTGTTCAAGTGCTACAAGGCTTTGGTCGACAACTGGGTGTTCATTGCCGAAAACATCATCGGTCCAGAAGAAATTGGACCCCGCTTGTTCGGGGCGCTCAAGGATAAGGCTTTCGAATACGTCGAGGACGACGCGCCCTCGACGTTTGCAGTACCGAATGGTGTGGAGCTCCTTCTTCAGAAGTTGGCATTATTCGATCAACTCCCGTCGGTGAAGATCGGATCAGCGATGGACGATTTTTTCATATGGATCATATCAAAGCAGGTGAAACTCAGCTGCAGTTGGCGACCCGCGTGGACAAGGCAGTTCTGCAGGCCAAAGCTGTTGAGCTCGACATTCCCGACCCGATCATCATTCGGCAGTTCATGAAGAGCTCTCAGCTGGACGCGAAGACACAAGCTACTCTACTGATGGCGGCCGGTTCGACCTTCAAGTGGAAACCGCTGAAGGAGCAGGCCGCGACGCTTTTCCCTCTGCCGCTCGTTCCTCGCAACAAGTACCAGGGTGATCGCAAGTGGAGACCGCAGCTCAACAGTGTCAACATGGCGAACAACGACGGACAGCACGACGAGGTTTGGCACGATGAGGAGCAGCGGTGCGAAGACGACGATCAGCCATAACCAGATTATCACTATGAGGACGGTTGGATGGGGGAAGAGGCGAACGACGACTACTGGTCAGAGCAGCTCCCCGAGGCCTTGGCACGCGAGATTCACACGGCTTTCGTGACGTTCAAGCAGGCTCACGACCGCCTGGACCAGGCGAATCGGGCCCGCGGCTATTACAACACGAAGGGCTCGAGCAAGGGCTTCGGCAGCGGCAAGGGGAAGTCCGGCAAGGGCTTCATGCCCCGAGCCTACAGCAAGGGCAAGGGCAGGGGCCGCGGCGGAAGTAAGGGACAGGCACGACGTGGCATTTCTCTGGAAGAGCTCAAGAAGGTGACGAACTGCTCGGCTTGCGGCGAGATCGGCCACTGGGCCGGCGATCGACAGTGCAAGGCGCCGCCCGAGCGTTCATCACCGCCTTCGGTTCGGACGGCGAATGAGGCTGCGCAGTCGTCCGACGCCTGGTGGCCCACCGGCTATGCTCCCCAGGAGGGCGCGGCCACTCTGCCACCGGAGTCAGATCCGGGCAGGCGCCCGGGCTCAGGCGCATCTTCGACGTCGACAGGATATGCAGCTAATAGATTACCGACTGTGGCAGAGTCTGATCACGTACGCCATGTCATGTCAGCGACGGCGAATATTAATTCTTTTCTTGGGGCTCGGCAGCCCCAGGTGGATCGCGATGCATTTGAAGAAGATGTGCGCGGTTATGGTCACCGTGATAGCCGAGCCCCAGCAAATGAGCCCAATCATACCCGACACATCACGATGACCTACGGCAGCGGAGGCCAGAGATCGAATCAGACGGGGAAGAGTTCACACAAAGAAAGGACGGTCTACATGATGACGATGACCCGCGACGTTCTGAGCGCCGAGAATGTCGACGCGGACGCGGACGCTCTGGTGTTGGACGCCGCCTGTCAGACTACCGTTGCAGGTTTGAACGGCCTTCAGCTGTTCGTGAAACGTTTTCTCGAGCCGCAAGTTGAGGTTTCGGAAGCTTGCGAGAGCAGGGGGGGTGCAGAAAAAAAAAAGATATAGCACTAAAGTATGCTTCAACTAGGTTCCCGCCGTGCATCCCAATGTACCGGCACAACACGGGCCACGAACCGTCATAAGTAGGTCGAGCGTTGCCAGGAAGCAAGAGCGGCGTCGAAAAGTAACCCGCTCTACCGCGAGAGCGAAACCCATCCTAGTTGGCGCGTCGCGCCCATCCTTCATCCTTCCGAACCTTTTTCAGAAGAGGCGATGGGGAGGAGGGGGATGAGCGGGGGGAGGAGGAGGGAGGGGGGCGCAGGACGGAGGAAGGAATGCGAGGAGGAGGATCATGGCGGGTCGATGAGGATGGAGGGAGGAGGGAGGATTAAGAGGATCATGAGGGATTAAGGGGGAGGAGGACGAGGATTGGTTCGCACGGGAGAGGAATGATGCATCATGCCTTCGTCCTGTCTCGCTCTCCCCCCCCCTCATATACCTTCGCGCCCCCTCCTCAGCCCACCCCCCATTCTTCTTTCGGCTGAGCCTCCCCGCCCCTCCTCCGCCCAGCCCCCCTCCATCCCCATGTCCTTCTCCCTTGTGCCCACCTCCCTTCCCCCTCCTCTTCATCTCCGCCCGCTTCCCGCCCCATCCCCTTTCTCCGCCTCCGACCCCCCTTATTCATCCGTCATCTGCCACCTCCTCTTCTTCTCTTTCTCATTCGCCCTCTCCGCCTCCCCCCATCCCTGTTGAGCCCGTAGAGCGGGAGTCACGGCGGGCCCCCCAGAGAGGAGACTCGCACGCATATTTCGCAATCGCTGATTCTTCGGGGGTTAGGTGTCCGCGGGAGTCGCCACCAATCGTTGCAATGTTTCTTTGGCCATCTTGGCATCCCTTGGGGGTCGGGCAGTCTTGGAATCCTGCTGAGGGCCTCTGGGGGCACATGTGGCACGGGGCACGTGAGATGTATGCCGAACCAGGGCTCCCTTGAGCCGTTTTGAGAGGCGAACTGGGAGCCTCTGCGGATCCATGGGGCGCGAAGTGCGTGAGAGGTGTGCCAGATTGAGGCTCCATTGCGCCGTCTTGAGGAGCCAGCTGATAGCCCTTGGGGCTCGTGGGGCACGAACGGCGTGAGAGGTGTGCAGAATTGAGCTCCCTTGAACCGTATTGAGGAGCCAGCCGAGGGCCTCTGGGAGTCCATGGGGCACGAAGTGCGTGAGGGGCGTGCCACATGTTGGCTCCGTTGGGACGTCTTGAAAAGCAATCTGGGGCTGGGAGCCCACGAGGCAAGAAGTGCGCGATGGGAGAGCCGAATTGAGGCCCCCCTCTGCCGTCTTGGAGATCAGCTGACCCCCTTCTCCGAGTCCCCTCTCACCCTCCCTCCTCTGAACCCCCTCCCTCCTCCCATCTCCCCTCTGCATCCTCCGCCCCCCTCCCCGCTCCGACGCCCCTGCGCCCCCTCCGACCCGTTCCCCCGTTCCCTCCTCCCCCTCGTCCCGTTCCCTCCACTGAACGCCCTCGTCCTCCTCCGATTCCCCCCCTCCTCCGATCCCCCTCCCCCATCCCTCCTCCGACCCCCCTCTGCCCCATCCCCCCTCCCTCCCTCCTCTCCCTCCCCCGACCCTCCCCCCCCCGCCCTCCGGCCCCAGGCTCCCTCCTCCGACCCCCCTCCCCCTCCTCCGACACCCCTCTCCCCCTCCCCCCTCCGATGCCCCCCCTTCTCCGAATGTTGTCCCCCCGAAGCCGTTTTGCGTAAGGAGTGTGCCGAATCGAGGCCCCGTTCAGCCGTCTTGGAGGCCAGACGACCCCCTCCTCCGAAACCCCTCTCCCCACTCCCTCCGCCTCCCCCCCCTCACCCCTCCGACGCCCCTCTGCCTCCTCCGACCTCCCTCACTCCTCCGACGCCCCTCCATCACCTCCGACCCCCTCCCCCTTTTCCCTCCTGCGGCCTCCACCCCCCTCCCTTCTCCGACCCTCCTCCGACTCCCCTCCTCCTCCTCCTCTAACCCCCTCCCCTTCCACCGACCCTCCTCTCTCCCCCCCTCTGACGCCTCTCCCTCCTCCGATGCCCTTTCCCCCCTCTCCTCTCCCACGTACCCCTCCTCAGATCCCCTTTTCCCTTTTTCGCCTCAGGGGTGTGCTGTAGGGCTGAGTTGGTACTTCTCGAGCGGGGGCGCGCCTGAGGAAACAAGCGGCACCCACTTCCCAGCGGCCAGCCGGCGGCGGGAGTGACCTCGGAGCTACTTCCGGAGGAGGGGGGGTAGTTTGGAGCTACTTTTGAGTCAAAGTAGCTCCAAAGTAGCTCCAAAGTAGGTCCCCGAAGTAGGTCCCGGAAAGAGGGTGTCCGGAAAGTAGGTCCCCGAAGTAGGTCCCGGAAGGAGGGTGTCCGGAAAGTAGGTCTCCAAAGTAGGTGTCCAGATGGAGGGTGTCCAGAAGTAGTTTTCTGGGTAGCTCAAAAGTAGGTCCGAGGGTGTCCTCGGCGTGGCGGTATAGCTCCAAAGTAGCTCCAAAGTAGCTCTGAAGTAGCTCCAAAGTAGGTCCTCCCCTCCTGGCTTCCCTCCCTTCTTCCTTCCTTCTCAGCCCGGCTTCCCTTCTTTGTTTATTATTGCTCTTTGCTTTCTCTCTCCCTGCCCCTCTTATGCTTCCTCCCTCCCTGTCCCCCGGGCGCAACCCCACTCGAAAAGAAGTACCAACGCAGCCCTATAGCAAACTCCTGAGGCGAAGAATTGAAACGGGGTCGGAGGAGGCGTGCGCGGGAGAGGGTAGCAGGGGGAGGGCATCGGAGGAGGGAGAGGCGTCGGAGGAGGGATGAGGAGAGAGCGGGGTCGGAGGATGGGGATGGGGGTCGGAGGAGGGAGAGGGGGGTCGGAGAAGGGAGGGGGATGGAGGCCGCAGGAGGGAGAGGGGGAGGGGGTCGGAGGAGATGGAGGGGCGTCGGAGAAGGGAGGGGGGTCGGAGGAAGCAGAGGGGCGTCGGATGGGGGGAGGGGGGGGAGGAGGAGGGAGAGGGGAGAGGGGTTTCGGAGGAGGGGGTCTTCTGACCTCCAAGACGGCTGAACGGGGCCTCGATTCGGCGCAACCCTCACGCAAAACGACTCGGGGGGGACAGCATGTGGAGAAGGGAGAGGCGTCGGAGGAGGGATGGGGGAGAGGGGTGTCGGAGGAGGAGGAGGGGGGTCGGAGGATGGAGACTGGGGCCGGAGGAGGGGGAGAGGAGGTTGGAGGAGGGAGAGAGGGAGGAGGTCGGAGGAGGGGGAGGGGGGTCGGAGGAGGGAGAGGGGGGTCAGTGGAGGGAGGGGGACGAGGGTCGGAGGTGGGAGATGGGGGAGGGGGTCGGAGGATATGGAGGGGCGTCGGAGGAGGGAGGAGGGTCGGAGGATGCAGAGGGGGGTCGGAGGAGGAAGGGGGGTCGGGTGAGGGTGAGAGAGGGCTCGGAGGAGAGGGTCAGCTGATCTCCAGTACTTCAGAGGAGGGCCTCAATTCGGCACGCCTCTCGCGCACTTCTTGCCTCGTGGGCTCCCAGGAGCCCCTCATATGGCTCTTCAAGACGGCCCAACGCAGCTAACATGTGGCACGCCCCTCACGCACTGCATGCCCCATGAACGCCAGAGGTCCTAGGCTGGCTCCTCAAGACGGCTCAAGCGAGCTCAATTCGGCACACTTCCCACGCAATTCGTGCCCCACGGCCCCCCAGGGGCTGTCAGCTGTCTCCTCAAGACGGCGCAATGGAGCTTCAATTCGGCACACCCCTCACGCACGTCGTGCCCCATGGATCCTCAGGGGCTCCCAGTTCGCATGTCAAAGCGGCTCCAGGAAGTCCAAATTCGGCATACCGCTCACGTGTTCCATGCCCCATGGGCACCACAAGGCCCTCAGCGGGATTCCAAGACCGCCCGACCCCCAAGGGACGCCAATATGGCCAAGCAAACATTGTAACGACTGGTGCCGACTATCGTGGAAACCGTACCCCCGAAGACCCACTGCTTGCAACAGATGCGCGCGAGTTTCCCCCTCGGGGGTCCGCTGTGACTCCCGTTCTGCGGGCTCAGCGAGGGGAGTGGAGGAGGAGGAATGGTGCGCGCGTACAGGAGATATCGGGGGACAGCGGGGAAGGACGATGACAAGGAATAAGGTTTCCAGTTGGCCTCCTGGAGGCTTCTGGTCGCCACGGTTGAACTCGCGTCGAAACCCTGGTCGGAGCACCCCCCAGGACAGGTCCCATAGCCCTCTTCCTTACCCTGCTCGTCACTCTGCTTTTGCAGGAAAGCATTGTAGCGTTGGGAGCATAACGTGCTCTGGTCGACTTGCGCCCCAATTCATGCGCAAGGTATGGTGTGGGGGCTTTACCTACTGAGCACGGTGCCCAGGTGCCTGACCTCTTGCGGTAAGCGCGGCCAGTGCGCCCTATCCACGGGTCAGTTACTTGGCCGCCCGCCGCAATCGACCTACTTGCGCCTTCTCTTTTTTGATACTTCATGGTTTTCGTGTAAAGTTACTTTTGGGTTACTATAGCCCTATCTCGATTTATTTCCAACGCTCTTGTCTCTCGCAGGCTTCCGAAACCTCAAGCCGCAAGATTTCCATGTGTGCGTTCGGCCCGAGCAAGAGCAGTGTCGTTTTGGCCCTGGCACACCGCAGACAAGCACAGAGCGCTGGTCTCTGCCGGTTGGGATGCACAAGCAGGCGATGATGATCTTACATGCATCGATCGACGGCTCGAAGTCCGCTCGCTTGCCCTTTCTTGGTGGCAGAGACCTGATGACCGACCTTGGGTGTGTCATCGATTTGGCCAGTGCCCAGGCCCATTTCCTTGCAGTGGATCTTCCGAACATACAGCTCGTGATGTCTAATAGTGGACATCTCGCAGTTCGGATCGACGATTGGCCGTCTACAGGTTTTCCGACGTATGGTGGCTTCGCTCTTGATACTTATACAGTTGTTGTGTGTCAAGGTGGCCCAGTTGAAAACGAGTCGTCGACCTCGCTATCAACAGTCAGCCGTCATGGGCAATATTATCCAGCAGGGCATTATCACGAACAGCACCATCCAGAAGCTAGCGTATACTATCAAGCACACCAGGGTCATCATCAGCAGCTTCAGCCAGGTCATCATGAGCAGCAAACCAGCTAGCATACACGTCCAAGCGGGAGCTGAGCTACGATGATCAGGACAACATAAATATGTTCTACAAGCATTTCAACAAGCAAAACTGGCAACAAGGCACATCGAGAGCGGCAAACATCTACGAGGACGACGAAGACGATGACAGGAACAGCCAAACGGAAATACATCGCAACACGCCGTTCTCAGCAGAAGCTCAATACCAAACAAACGCCGCAGCAGTTTGTGCGCCAAGCCAGCTTTCATCTTCAACTTCCTCAGCCTTCGCGCCGACGACGCTTTCGTCATCTCCATGTTCATCCGTGCATGCCGCGGAAATTCAAGCCGGCGGCCGAGGACATCAGAGCGCAATAGGCGGCCTTGGTTCGCGCTATGGTGGTGGTCATGCGCATGTTCGCCAAGAGCAGGTGCCATAAGCTGATCGACTCCGTGTTAGGCAACCGCCTCCCGGTGACGAAGGCCCTCGCCTTCCCGACGCCGCGCGTGGCGAGCTACAAGCCGGACACTCGGACGGGATCGTCGACAAGGATGGCCTACTTCCCGGAGGACGCGCGGACGCGCCTCCATCCCGACAACGGCGAGCGCGAGTGCACGGTACCAGCGGGCAAGTTCAAGGAGTGTCTCTACTGCGGGGCGGTCTGGGAGGCGGAGAAGTACCCGTTCAAGCTGGGCAAGACGCAGTCGACGGAGGCGATCTTCTGGAACCTCCACGGCACCCGCCAGACACCAGGCGCCAAGATCGACCGACTCAGCACGGCGGCATCGGCCAGCAGCCCTTACGTGCCGCCTTCCTCGTTGGCACGGCGCTCGCGCCCCTCGCCCTAAGCTGGTCGCTCGGAGGCCTCGCGGAGGACTACCGGCCCCAGGCGGGCCCGTTCTCCGAGTTCGGACGCGATGGGAGTCGAGGAGGTGGATTCGAGCTGGGGGCGACCGCCGAGGCTTCCCCGCTCGGCGCAGGAGCCGGAGGCACCCTCAGTGCGGGTCAGGCGCGCAGGTACCTCGGCATGGCGCGGTCGGCCTACCAGACCATCAGCCTCGAGAAGGACGTGTGCACGAAGAAGCTCAACGCCAGCAAGTTCCCCAGGCGACATCGCCGAGGTGTCGATCCGCTGGAGGTCTTCGGCGGCGAGCGCGGCATCACCATTCGCGCCGCCGGCCGCGCTCGCGGTTGGAACGTGCGCGGGCTGCAGCCGATCGACAAGTTCTTCGGTCAGGACTTCAAGATTCAGCAGGAGCGGCGGAACGTTCTTAGCACGATCGACAAGTGGCAGCCTCGCCTCGTGGTCATCCAGTTGCCGTGCCGCTTGTGGACGTTGCTGAACCGCAATGTCAACTACAAGGACAGGGCCGAGGTTCTGGAGGGCCTGCAAGACGAGGAGAGGTGCTTCCTGACGTTCGCCGCGGACATCTTCAATAAGCAGAAGCACTACGGCAACCACGCGCTGCTCGAGAACCCTGCTACGGCGGACTCGTTCTGCGAGGACGTGATCATGCAGCTCCGCCAGGACAATTACGAGTGCACCTCCAACATGTGCATGTTCGGCATGGTCGGCAAGGACGGCCTGCCCATGAAGAAGCTGGTCAGGTGGTTGGGTACGCACCCTCTCTTGATTCAGGAGCTCGACCGCCGCTGCGATCACCAGCATCAGCATGAGGAGGTTTCTGGTGGAGGGCCTTCAGGTAATACCGGGAGGTCCCAGGTCTATACGTGGCAGCTGGCCGACGCGATCTGCCGAGGCCTGACGAGGGTCATCGAGCCGGAGGAGTTCTGCCACGGCGTCCAGATCTGCAGCTACTATCCGGTGAGCTACGACAAGCCGGCGTCGCACGTTCACCAGGTGTGCTACGCGGCACCCAACATGGAGGAGCCCCCCTGGCGGGCTATCATGAGCGGCGTGGTGGACATCATGAGTCGCCGTAACGCCGGTTCGGCTACTGTTGCGAAGGACTCCGAGATGTGGAAGCAGGTGGAGGAGCTCATTCCCTGGCAGCTGCTCAGTATCCAGGCCGCCTTCCAACCGAAGGCCAAGCGGCTCCGACCAGAGTTTGGGCACGACGTCCACCAATGCTCGGTCCTGGTTCAGGAGGACAACCAGCTGGTCATCGAGCATGAGTACGTCCCTGACGCCTACGCCCCGCGCGAGAGGTTCCAGACGCCAGTCAGGTACGCGCTCTTCGTGATCGGCCGTGCTCCTGTGGGCGACCCAGTCCCACCTCGACCTCCTGTCGGAGGCGAGTCACGACAACCTTTGCCAGTTCCAGCGCCAGGTGAGCCACAGCCTGAGGAGCTCCAACCGTCTACCGTTCAGCAGCGCGCCAGTGACGATCTGGTTCGCAGGTCCGCCTCTGACGGCGGAGGAGAAGCGCGCGGCCCCGATCGCGGCGCGGATGCATCAGAACCTGAGCCACCCGCTGCAGCCCGACTCCACTCGGTTCTTGAACAGCGGCGATGCCAGCCAGGTCGTCATTGACTTACGCCGCAGGCTTCGGTGCAGTTCGTGTCTCAGGAACGTGAAGCCGCGCCGACCGAGACCGGGCAAGATCCCCTACATCGGCTCGTTCAACTCGAGGGTCGGCCTCGACTTTTTCTACCTGCCCGACGCCGCGCACAACACTCACCAGTTCCTGGGCATTCTGGAGATGTCAGGCCTGCTGAGGATGGTTGTTTACTGCCCGACCAGGGACCCAGCTCACGTGCTCGAGGTCTTCACTATGTGTTGGCTGTCATGGGCCGGGTATCCTGATCACGTGGTGCGCGATCGCGACGGAGCCTTTCAGGCCATCTTCGTCGAGCACCTGGATGAACACGAGGTGTTGGTCGAGAAGATCCCCGCTGAGGCCCCCTGGCAGTCGGGCCGCGTGGAGGCTAACATCGCCCTCTGGAAGCACATGGCGCAGCGAGTTATCGACGCGATGCAGCTGATCGGCCCCGACGACATGAAGCTGATGACTGTGCCGATCAACCAGTCTCGGATCTGGCGAGTGCGCCAGTGCGGAGCTTCACCATATCAATGGACTTTTGGCAAGGATCCCAGGATTCCCGACAGCATCACCGACCCTGCCAACTCCGCGGTGGTTCACAGTGCGATGACAGCAGACGCCGAGCTCGCAAAGAGGGCTCGCATCCGCGTTCTGGCGGACATGGCGTTCACCGAGTACGACAGGTCCGATTCTCTCAGGAGGTCGATGCTCCGGGTCAACCGGCCCAACCGAGGCGACTACACCGCTGGCGACCGCGTGGCGTTCTGGCGGCTGCCCAAGAACAAGAAGGGCAAGCAGTACCCGGCGCGGTTCATCGTGGCGACGGTGATCGGACCTGGCGGCAGCGGCGGACCAGACGACAACAACGTCTGGGTTCAGTCGTCAGGACATCCCATCCTGGTCTCGAAGGAGCAGCTGCGCGAAGCCCACGGCACCGAGATGTGGGTTCCCGACGACACCGACCTGGCCGAGCTACGCCGTGCTGCTCAGGCACCTCCTGATCGCTATCACGACGAGCGAGCTGAACCCCCTCCAGCTGATTTGGATCCAGCCGACGTCGTGGCATCCGACATGGCGACAGCTCTAGAGGAAGAGTGGCCGTGAGCGTCAACAGCCGCCACATCAGGAAGCTCTGCCAGGGCCACCGCCGCAAACTCATGCGGTTGAACCGCCACCAGCTCCGGAGGCGATGCGCGATAACCTTCTGCCAGCCGTTCGACCTCTACCAGAAGCTGCAGCTGCCGAAGGACCAGTTGCGCGACGTCCTCGTTTCTCGGGGCCACCTGCGTCAGTGCCGGCGGCTGCGCCTACATCGCATGCACCAGCGTACGTTTGCTTTAACGGCACCGAGCAGGAGCCCGTCGTGCCCGTGTTCGACTCCGAGCGCGACGCGCACGACAACATGCCGGTCCGCGAGGTCTACCTCACCACGAACGGCCAGTTCACCATGGCGAAGAAAGACCAGAAGGCGCTCATCAGGGAGATCCCGTGGTCGCAGATTCCCGATGGTCAGAAGCAGCTTTATCGGGGCGCTCTGGCGCGCGAATGGTCGTCATGGCAACGTTTCTCAGCAGTGGAGGTCCTGGACCTCAAGATTTCCAAGCAGATCGAGCTGGACGTCGAAGAGAAGAAGCGGATCATTCCATCGAGGGTTTGCTATCGCGACAAGAACGCTGTCCGAGGTGTTTCGGAGATCGACGCGAAGGCTCGCCTCGTCGGCGTCGGCCGCAACGACCCGGACATCCTGACTCTGAGGCGCGACGCGCCAACTCTGACACGTGCTGGCTTCTACATCCTCTTGCAGGTAGTGGCTAGTTGGAACTGCAACCTCTTCGGCGGTGATGTCACCGCAGCCTTCCCTCAGGCCGACCAACAGAAGGCACAGAGGGACAAGCCCATCTACCTTCGTCAACCTGGTGAGGGCCTTCCTGGATGACCCAAGGGTGCCCTACTGCTGGTGCGCCGCTCGATTTACGGTTTCGTGAACAGTCCTCGCCTCTGGTGGCGTAAGCTCCGTGACTTTCTGATCAGCATCGGTGGCAAGCAGTGTCTGCTGGACAAGGCACTTTTCTGTTTCTACAAGGCTGGGCGCTTGGTGCTGATCGTGGGCATTCACGTGGGCGATCTCATTGGTGGTGTGGATCCGATACATGGTGCTGATTTGGTTGACAAAATACGCAATCGTTTCACTTTCGGCAAATGGTGGGACAATGAGTTGACTTATTGTGGCAAGCGCGTTGTCAAGCAAGCAGACTGCAGTGTTTTCGTCAACCAGTGCGAGTTCTCCGCTCAGTGTATTCCGGCTCCCCTACCACGCTGGAGATCGGCAACACCAGATGCGACACTGTCTGCAGAGGAGAAGACCCATTTCTCAAGTGGCGTGGGCTCGTGTCAGTGGCTTGTTGGCCAATCAAGGCCAGATCTGGCAGCAGCGACGTCACTCGGACAAGGCAGCAATCCAACCATCTCGAACCTCATGGCCATCAACCGCATTCTGCGCGAGGCTCGCGACACCAAGGACGCTGGTCTCACCATTGTTGGTTTGGATTTCTTACGTGCCGTCCTCGCGACGTTCACTGACGCGGCATGGGCCACTGCCCAAGAGAATCTGAGTCAGGCTGGCTTCATGGTTTTCTGTGCTGATGTGAGATGTCTCACCTCGCGCGGTGGAGCCGCTTCGCTACTGGACTGGCGTTCTCATCGTATCCGACGAGTAGTACGCAGCACGTTAGCAGCAGAGGCAATGGCAATGGACGCAGGTGTCGATACTGCATATTTCCTTCGGCACTTGTTCGCTGAGATCCTGTTCGAGGATTTCCGGCCAGGCCTTTCGGGCAAGCTTCCAGCAGATTTCAGGCCCATCAAGGTGGCCACGGACTGCAAGTCTTTGTACGATATTCTCACCAAGGAAGGCACGCCCTCGACTACGCTCGAGCGACGCCTGAGCATCGATATCGCTGCGGTGGCACATACGGCCGAGGATTTTGATGACGAGAACCCGAAGCACACGGTGTTCTGGGTTCCTACCGATAAGCAGATTGCCGACCATCTCGCGAAGGTCAAGCCGCCTGGTCAGCTTCGCGAGCTCCTTTTTCAGAGTTGGTTGAGCTTGCGCTCCGATCAGAACCTGCCCTCGTAGAGTGCTTGGGTTTGTTTTCAAGGTGAGGTGTCATGCCTGAAGTGACACACGATATCCATACATATGTTTCTCCGCTAAACCAGGCGTACGGTCGCTTTCAGTTAGACACGCGTAAGCTGCCTGTGTGAACCCAGGCTCGCTTTGAATTCGCTTAGTTTCGATTCTTAGAGTGTGCAGCCTCGTCTCGAGAGATTTGAGGCAACAGAAAACATAGCGAATGCAATCTCGCTATGATTTATGTTGCCTCCCTTCTCTCTCACTCGTCCCCTTGTTCTCCCTGCCTTTGCTCGTGCTGCTCTCACCTGTGCTCCCCGCTGCTGTTTTGGCCCCGTGCAGGGCCCTTGAGCTTACTGGCGCGAGACGCCCACCGTGCGCACCCGGTGACAGAAAGATATCTTTTCGTGCCTGTGAATCGGCACCATCTCCACTACACATCAATGCACACGTTTATTGATTTCATCTTATCGAATGTAAGGGTGTATACGTATGTATGTATGTGAGTATTAATGTTTGCATGCATGCATGCATGCATGCATGCATGCATGTTGGTGTGTATGTATGCATGTATGTATGTATGTATGCATGCATGCATGTATGTATGTATGTATGTGTGTTTGTATGTACGTATGCATGCATGCATTCATCCATGGGTGCCTATGTGCATACACATATATATATATGTATATATACATACACATATATGTAGAGGTATGAGAGTTCGGTGGTGTTGTTGATGTACCCAAAACGAAACTCTCCCCATCATATCGGCGTTGGAGACAGTGCGCGCGGTTTTGCAATCTGATGCGCCGCTTGTTCAATTTCAGGACCTCGTTTCTTGGCTTGTACATGCTGGCAACATGATGATTGCGTAGGGTACTGTGCACATGTTGCAGGGTAATCCGGCACTTCTCTCAAGCGGTTCCACTTAGGCGCATGCGTTTTGACACACTCCACGCTCACGGCCAACGCTCTTCTTGGCCAGCTGGACACTGTTTGGATGAACGCGGAGGCGATGCTTGTCTTCGTGCTTCTGCAGGTGGGGAGAGCCTGAGCGAAGCCCAGCGTGCGCGCGGGCGCCCCTCAGGCAGCTGACCGCGGAGGCCCGGCCGCTCCTGGACTCGCTCCGCCTGGTGAGCGCATCCGTGGCGTCCCCAGGCGGGGGGGGGCAGGCCGCGCAGCGGCCGCGTTCTGCGACGGGGCCCTCGCGCCTCGGGCGCCCCCTCGAGTGCGGGAGGCCCCGAGGAGGGGGCCCGCTCGTGGCGTTGGGCCAGGCTGCGGAACACCTGGTGAACACACTCGTGGCGTCCCCAGCGGAAGGGTACGCATCTGGCCAGCAGCAGAGTGGATGAATGGTTACTTGCGTGCCCGACTCACAGAGGCGTGCGGCGCCAAGAGTGCGTTTATCAAGAGCTGCAAGGCGTTCGGGTCGTGATCGGTTAACGCATCGCGTTAGGTCGGGTATTGTTCTCTGTACGACAGCGCTCGCGGTCATTGCGTCAAGACTCCCGTTCATGAGATGAGAGTCTAGAACATGTGACGTTGGGGCACTCCGACACCAACGACGTCTCCCACGTCTACCCTGTCTCCCACTCCGACACCAACGACGGCGCCGTCTCCCGCGCCCACGCCGCCTCCCACTCCGACACCAATGACGGTGCCGGGCGCTACGACCAGTGCATGCGGGGTGGGCTCCAGTCTCCGGCCTTCGGCCGTTAGCGACCTCCACTTGCGAAACGTGTGCGACGAGCGTTTCGACAGGCGACCTGGCAGGTGTTCGCTCCTCCACATCCCTCTCAAGGTGGACAGGAAAAACGTGCTCTTTCCGGCGCTCGCAGCCGTGCTCCGTATCAGGACAGCCTGTGGGGACATGTATTTCATGTCGTTCAACATCACCCGACACTGGTCACGCGGGCACAATAACACCAGTTTCATCGCGGTCGCCGCGCCGTCTCGCACGACGAGGGGCTGGGTGCGGTACGGCCACCAAGTCTCGTTGAAGGTGGTGCACGGCCTGACATGCAGCGGCACCCGGTACTTGAGCATCTGCGCGAACGATGTGCGCCGCGCAGGGCACAAGGTTGGAGGTCTTCTAGGCGCGGACGACCACGTGGAGGCCTCGACCGAGGAAACCGGGTGTCAGAAGCTGATGACGATGTAGCCGCTTTAGCCGGTGAAGTGATCAATGTGTTCGCTTTACTATCAATAGCAAGCTTCGCTCGAGTACGCTTGATCTTCTGAAGCTTGGTGAACACATGCGCTGAGGCCTTGTTTGAAAGCTGGGCATTCTTCACAGCTTGGCCCACTGGCACTCATAAGCCCGTTCCTCATGTATCCAGCTTCTTGCAAACAAGTCGCCGATTGGGAATGGCTTTCGGGCCATGCGGCGGGCGCGATCTGAAGCGCACCTGCGTGTGACGCCAAGTGTCCACCAACGCGGATCCTCAGGCGCCGATTATGGCCTGGCCCATCCCCGGGCCAGGCCCAGCCACGAAAACGCGCACTGCCATGGCTCACGATCCTGGACCTGGGATTTTGTCCCAGCTGGGAACGGGCTTAGTGCCTGTTTGTAGCCAGCGCCCTTTCACGAGGAGGAGAAGGAGGAGGAGGAGGAGGAGGAGGAGGAGGAGGAGGAGGAGGAGGAGGAGAGGGAGGAGGAGGAGGAGGAGGAGGAGGAGGAGCAGGAGCAGGAGCAGGAGGAGCAGGAGCAGGAGGACCAGGAGGAGCAGGAGCAGGAATGGGAGCACTCCTTCTCCCTGGGCAACTTCCCCCGTGGCCGATGTCACAGCGCTCCTCCCCCTTCTCCTCTAGGGAGGTCCTTGAGACCCACGTGGCGCGCAACACGGTGAGGATGAGGAGGGGCAAATGCGAAGGGGGAATGCAAGGGGGCTGAAGTGCAGCAGCGGGAAAGCTGTGTGTGTGTGTGTGTGTGTGTGTGTTTGTGTGTGTGTGTGTGTGTTTGGTGATCGTTCGACGTCTTGCGGTGTGCCACCTTGCTTGCCAAACTTGATCCTATGACGTCTCATCTTGGGGTCCTCCGTAGGCAGACTTCTGATTCGGCCCGCAGAGTGGGCACTCGGCGGGCCCCCCAGAAGGGAAAACCCGCACGCCAGTGAATCATGCCGAGGCGACGCTGGGGCCTCTTGGGAGCCTTCTGGGGCGTCTTAGGGGGCGTCGTGGAAGGCTTCTTGGAGGCCCCTTGGGGCCCCCAGTGTGGGCCTCCCGAGTCCTGTTGGGGGCTGGGGCCTCTGTGGCCTCCTGGGGGCTCCTTGGGGGGAAAAGCTTGATATGTTGGTCCGTGTTCCTGGGGCCCCTCTTGGGGCAGTCTGGGGCCGTCTTGGGGGCAACTTGGGCCGTCTTGGGGCTCTCTGGGGATCTCTAGGGGGCCTGTTGGGTCATCTTTGGGGCGATCTTGGGAGCCACTTGGCTCGTTCTGTAGCGTCGGAAGCTCGAACAGGCGAGAACGACACCATCCTTCAAACACCGAAGTACACTAGGCCAGCGGAGTGCGCGAGGCCGCTCCTTGCATGCATGTATGCATGCATCTCATCCTCTTTCATCTTCCCCCCTTCAAATCTGAACACTGCCAGGGCCTGCATGGGGGGGGGGGCCGGCGAAACGAGCCCGCACCGCAGAGCGGGAGTCACGGGCCCCCCCCAGGGGAAATCCGCACGCAGATGTTGCAAGCAGTGGGTGTTCGGGGCATTGCTTCGACCAGGGTCGGTAGCATTCGTTAACATTTTTCTCGAGGCCATCTTGGCGCCCCTTGGGGTGGCAGGCGGTCTCAGGAACCGACAGATGGCCGTTGGGGGTCCATGGGGCACGAAGTGCGTGAGGGGTGTGTGCCGAATCGAAGCTCCCTTGAACTGTCTGAGGGGTCAGCTGAGGGCCCCTGGTAGCCCATGCGGCATGCGGTGCGCGAGAGGTGTGCTGAGTTGCAGCGCATTGCTCCTGGAGGTCGATTGGGGCACGACATGCGTGAGGGGCCGTGAGGGGGTGTACCGAATTGGACCCCAGAGAGCCTTCCTGGAGGGCCAGCGGAGCACCCATGATGCACGAAGTGCCCGAGGGCTGTGCCGAATCGAGGCTCCCTCGAACTGTTTGAGGGCTCAGCCGAGGGCCCCTGGTAGCCCATGAGGCGCGAAATGCGCGAGGGGGTTGCCGGATGCATGCTTCCTTCAGCCGTCTTGAGGGCCACGGATCCCCCCCTGGAAGTACATGGGACACCGATTGCGTATGGGATATGTCGAACTGAGGCCCGAAGATGCGGTCTTCGAGGCCAGCTGAGCACCCATGATGCACACAGCGCTCGAGGGGTTTGTCGGATTGAAGCTCCCAGACGTGCCCCAGGCAGCCGGGGGTGCAGTCCACTCATATTTTCAGGGCACCATGAGACTTGATAGCAATTGGCCTCTTCGGGCCAGCGGGATGTGCGAGGCCGCCCCCAGTATGCATTCATGCATGCATCTCAGTCTCAGGCTTCGGGTTTGAGCTCCCAACTCTCCGAGTCGAGTCCAACCGTGCCGACGCCGAAAGCCAGCCGCCGATGTCCATCAACCGATTGACCTTATCCACGGCGGCCCGCTCAGGAGTCCGCTAGGCGGATCTCCTGGCTGAGCGCTTCGCCCTTACACGAACCCGTCCTTGATGATGTCGGCTACGGCCTTCACATCGAACTTCGGCGAGCCCTCGAACATGTTCGAGGGCTCGCCGAAGTTGGCGCCAGCGTGGCGCGGTGGCTTCCCGACTCCAATGCGGGGTCTTCGTGACGAGAAGCCGAGGCTGCACGGGGCAGGTGCTTGAAATTCCAACACCGTCGTGCCGTAGGTGGGGTGGTGCCGTCTCGTCTTTGGTCCAGAACATCCAGATCAGCGTCAGCAGCGCACCGACGGACTTCGTCCTGCCCTGATCGTCCAGAATGTCCAGGTGCAGCCCGAGCATCCGCAAGTGCACCCCCTGCTCCACAGTATTGGAGTTCATGATGGCCTCGGTAACCTTGTCCGAGGTGTCGAAATCAGCGGTGTCCACGTCGGTGCAGGGGTCTTGGTCAGATTTCAGCTGCGCCCTCGTCCCCTTCACGCTCGCCAGGTCCTCGGTGCTCGTGGCATCTTTGCCCGAGTCGTCTCCCGTGGGCTCCGTGGCCAGGTAGCTGCTGTCAAGATCCTGCGACCAGCGACGCCTGGCCTTGCCCGCCAGTGCGCCCAGGAGAGCGGTGTTCGTCTCCTCCTTCACGGCGCCTCCCTCTTCGGCTGCGCAGTCCTTGACCGCCAGGTCGAAGGCCGCCTCCAGCCCTGCAGCGCATGCCTCGGAGCCGACGGCCTCCTCGGGGTCGCCCTGCTTGATGCTCTCCACCAGCGGTGCGGCTTCCTTTCCGACTTGCAGTTCGAGCACCCTCCCTGGTCATGCCATGGCGCTTGCTTCAGGTCCCTGTTGTAGTCCGTGCGGTCGCTGCTCTTCTTCTTGTCCTCCCACACCGTTACTTTCGATCCGAACGCTTCACCAGCTTGGGTACTTTCGGAGATGACTGCTTGCCCGTCTCCGCATCGCACTTCGCCAGCTTGGCCGCCCATTTCTCGTTCTTCTTGGCCTGACGGGCTGGCGTTACCCAGCGAACGCGCAACTTTTCGAGTGGCTGCTTCTTGAATTTCCGTGTTGCTCCTCGCTCTTGTTCCCCTTCGACGTGCGCATCGGCGACCCCGACCTGTTAAGTGTTTCACCGCCCGCTTGGGAGGTGTCGTCGGCACCGCTGGGGAGAGAGAGAAAGAGAGAGAGAGAGAGAGTGCTCCCTGCCGCGCCAGTAGACCTCGTACGTGTTGGCGCTGAGCCGTCCATGTAGACAACCTGCACGTTCTCAGCGGCCCCCTCCCTGTCCCGGGCAAAATTCTCCACCCTCACGGGCTTTTTGGCCTCCTCCGTCGAGTCGTTCTCCCAGTCGGACGTCGATTCCGTAGCATCGGGATCCCAGCTCGGCTCGAATTCTTCTGTCAAAGCGCTGGGAGCCAGCGCCGCCGAGTCGTTTTGCATCGGCTCGCTGGGCAGCCTCTTCTGGGCCATCTCGTCCTCCAGGACAGCGGCAGCTTTCGCCCTGACCTTCGCCATGAACGGCTTCAGCTCGTCTTTCACGTGCCTCAGCGCTTCTGCGCTGACGACCTGACGGATGCGCGGGTGCCTAAGCGCTGACTCCCCTCGAACCAGAGCAAAAGCGGATAGGAGGAGGAGGAGGAGGACGAGGAGGAGGAGGAGGAGGACGAGGAGGAGGAGGAGGAGGAGGAGCATGAACATGAGCATGAGCATGACCATATGACTAAGTCAATGAATCCACCACAGCACCTGAATTAAGCCTTGCCTCGGGTGGCCAGTTCGGCCTTACTCAAGACCTTCGGCCAGAGCCCCTGGGAGATTCGACCTTGTGGGTGTCAGTCGAGGCACACACTCTCTACCAAGCGCCAGCAGCTGCTGGGAACCGAAACTTCCACAACCTATGAAATACCGCAAGCGCAAATCACCATGAACCTGCATACGATGACTCAGATGTGCAAAGCCCCCCGTTATGTGCAACTGGGCATTACACTTCTCGGGGGAGGGAGAAGCAGGCCGTCATGAGCCACGTAGTCCTTGTGGCCTTCGAAGCCGAGCCTCCGCACCTGGTGCATCTACACCCAGTGCTGTCCACACTGTGGGCCGAAGACAGAAGGGCGAGAGAGGCAGCAGCAGGGGGCGGTGGCAGGGCGGGGACGGGGGGACGTTTTTCCACAGGCTCACTCTGCAGCCGATCCTCGGCGGCCATTGCGTCCAGAGTGGCGCGGAGAATGCGCATGCGCACGAGCCTGGCAGTCCTTCCTTTCACGAGCACAGCATTGCGGGTGGCTTCTGGCAGGCGAGCCTCGACCGCCGCTTGCCCCGCCATTTCATCAGCTACGATATTACTCGCCACCATCCACCTCGGGGCTTTGCCCTCCACGATGTCCCGAGCAGACAGGTGTGAGTTCGTGAATAAGACTGGAATCAAATCGCGCACTCGCTTTTTCATGAGAAGGCTTAGAAGCGCCCACATGTCTGCGTCCTCACCTGCTGGCTCCTCGAACTTTCTATTATAAAAGCATGCTACGACGGGGTCGCAATCTGAACTTAAAGCAATGGATCCAGTGGTGATCCACACTGCCAAGAGCAAAGCGCGCAACTCGCCCCGAGCAACAGCCTGCCTGGGCCCTGGGAGCGGGCCACGCACAGTCGAGGCGCATGGCAATGTCGGCTCCAGCGCACGAGGGAAAACACTGGCAACCTCAATTCTCCGAAACAATCTACAGTGTGTGTCAGGGCCTCCGCTGGAGTCTCACAAAACAAAGAGCGGCGCCTGCTCAGTGCCGCCGGTCACACAGACCCCGACAATCTCCTCATTCTCAAGCTCCTCGGTGCCAACCCATTGCTCGATCTCACTCGGCGCTGGGACAGCTGTCCAGGCCGCTGGCATGAGGCCTCTGAGCCAGAAGCCCTGATTCATGTCCGCTTGGGCCAGAGCCGGAGGGATCAGGTCGTTGGAATCGTCGTAGGCTGCGCTGCCCTCGTTGCACTCACATTTCCACACTCTGTGGACCATATCCTCTGGCGCCTTGCGACACCGTAGGCAGTCCACTGAGCCGTCGTACTGGCTCGGAGGAGGAGGAGGAGGGAGGAGGGAGGAGGGAGGAGGGAGGAGGGAGGAGGGAGGAGGAGGAGGAGGAGGAGGAGTAGGAGGAGGAAGCATGAGGAGAAGGTTGCCGTGAGCGTGAATGCGGCTTTCGAAGACCACGGCCGGAGAAGGCGGGGAGGCGGCGTGTTCGAGGTGTGCTGGAGCTCGAAGGGCGTAAACAATACACCTACGTACACCAATATCGAGCATGCCGAATGTTAGACTTCGGCATCGGTGTAGATGATCCAGGTCCAGGGTTCGTACGCCCCCTCCCCGATGGGATGGGTCCCAGGGTTCCTACGTCCCGCCCCCCCAGATGGGATGGGGGGGTCGACGACGACGACGACGACGGCGGCGGCGGCGGCGGCTGCGGCGACGACGACGACAACGAAGGGGAAGGCGGTCCCAGGGTTCCTACGTCCCGCCCCCCCAGATGGGATGGGGGGGTCGACGACGACGACGACGACGGCGGCGGCGGCGGCGGCGGCTGCGGCGACGACGACGACAACGAAGGGGAAGACGCTTACGATCACGCCGAGGAGGAACAGGAGGAGATGGAGGACGACGATGGCCACGACGTCGAGGACCACCATCACGGCCACCAGCACTACCACGTCGACGTCGACAACGACGTTGACGTCCACGACGACGAAAACCACGACGACGACGACGACAACGACCACGACCAAGACCACGACCCCGACCACGACCACGACCATGACCACGCCGAGGAGGAAGAGGAGAACGACGACGACGGCCACGTTGACGACGACCACGACGACGATGACGACGACTACGTTGACGACCATGACCCCGACCCCGACCACTACCACGACCACGACCACGCCGAGGAGGAAGAGGAAGACGAGGACGGCCACGACGATGAAGACCCGCACCACCACCACGACCACTAGTACTACCTCGTCAACGTCGACCACGGCGACGACCACGACCACGACCACGACCACGACAACGACCACGACGACCGCGACGACGACGACGACGACTGATGACAACGACCACGACGGCGTGGAACCACCACCGCCGAGGAGGACGGCGACGACAATCTCCAGATCACTTCTGTAAGCGAGACTCCTCCCCTGCGCTTCAAGGTTGCATCCCTCCCGCTCCCTGCAGCAATCACAGCGCTACGCCACGCCACAGGATCTGGGACACCATACCTCGGGGGGGGAGGGGGGCCCCGGAGCCTGAATCATACACGCCCTCCTCGCCAAGGCACGTGGGCGTCTGCATCGATCCTTGGCCCAGGGTTGGTCTGGCCAGGATCGGCGTACTAGGTGTATCCGATGGCCTTCCGCCCAACCCGCCACCGTACCGGGGCTGCAGGCCAGAGGGTGCTCTTGGAGGTCTGGGTGGCCCTGGGAGGCCTGCTGGGCGCCTCGGCGGTCTCGTGGGCCATCTTGGCACAAGGAGGGCTCGTGTCAGGCGATCGCAAACATGGATCAAGGGGGCGTGGATTAGCGACGGGTCCCGTTCCCATGGGAAGTCGCGGATTTCCGCCGCCGAGCGAGGCGGCATCAGCCGCATTTTTGGGAGGGCACCTCCCCCGATCCATGGATTTGGCGACCGCGCGCCAAATCCATGGATCGCGAATGCATATTTGCGCGCCCCCGATCGTGGGGCCACGTCGGGTTCCCCCTGTGCGGGGCCGAAGACAGTGAGCACCTGAGGGTTGCGAAGCCGTACCTGCTTCCGGGACTCCTGCGGAACACCCCCCGTAGCGCCCGTGGAGATCCGTGAGGGGGGCTCTGGGCCCCGGAGGAGCATTTTCAGTGCTCGCGAAGCTCAGGGAACTCGTAGGGACCAGAGGGCACTCCACTGAAAGCCCCGCGGCACGTTGGCGGATGGTTATTCGGCATCCTCTCAAGGTGTGCTGGAGTGGCCTGGCGCTGCTATCCTTCCCGTTGCTCGCGCGCGTCGGCGGCGGTGCGGCCGCCGCACTCCCTGCTGGCAGCGGTGAGGCCCCGAACCGGTGCCGCTTCGCCGCCAGGAGCCTGCGGATGCTCGCGCGGCGCGCGGGCCCGCGCTGGCAGACGGCGCCGACGGGGCGCTCCCGGCGCCTGTCCTCCCAGTTTCGGGAGGCCTTCGGCGTCAGCATGGAGGAGGTCCCGCAGACGAAATCCATAGAGGTTCCCCGCACCGGGGGCGGGGCCAGGGTCCGGCGCCGAGCCAAGAAGTCCCTGCGGACCTCCGAGCGGCAGTGTTCACGTCAATGCTTGCTTGCTCCTCCATGACCGGGCCCTCCACCGTCGGGGACGTCTGCCCCAGGGTGAAGTCGGGCTTGTCCCTCTACAGGGGGAATCTTCGAGAATAGTCAAAAAATAGTCTGGGGATTATTTTGGGAGTATTCTTTGACCATTTTGGTGCATGTTTGGGTATTTCCATTTTTCGAAAATCCCCCTGTAGGGGGACACGCCCGACTTAACCCCAGGGCGCGGCTGGAATCTCAGCACGGAGCTTCTGGACGCCCAGGGCACAGCCGCCCGCCTCCCCCCTCTGACGGCTGGAAGGCCCGGTCTCTGCTGCGAGGCGTCCGGCCGCGAGGTGAGCGACGGAGAGAGATGGAGTCGGCTGCGCAGATCGCGCGCAAGCTGCCCGCGTAAGCTCGCGGGCAAGCGCCTTCTTCTCCACGTTGCGTGCCGCGCGAGCGGCCCGTTGAATCCACCGCGCGAGGCCGCCAGTGTCCTCCTGCGCATCACCCTTAGATCCATCGATGCGCTGGAGCAGATTCGCAGCGTCGTGAAGAATCGCGTCCAGGGCCCTCGGGCTCGTCTTTCTGCGGCGCTTCTGGAGCTGGAGCGGTGCGTGAGGGCCCCAAGGCCCTCACCGTGACAAGGGTGATGGCCGTGAGTTGGATTTGTGATCCACGACGCCCAGATGTAAGGAAAGGGTTCCAATTGCCCTTTGTCGCTCTGTGCGGTTGGCAGCCCCCAGAGGTGCCCAAGGTCTCCAGAGGTCCCTGAGGAGGCCTCGGGAGGCATCTGGGGGCCTCCATAGGGCTGTGCTTCTCAAGGGGCAAAGAACTGCGTTGTTTGGGTCGCCCAGGTATGCGTTTTAAGGTAATTCCCGGAACATTAATTTGCAGTGTATGCTGTCCCCGTTGTTTGTCCTACATCGCTGAGCCCACGAAGCGTGCTCGTACTCCCCGGCTTGTGCGAAGGCAGGATTTCCCTCAAAGGGTTCGCTGGCGATTGCCCCCTTGCAATCTTCCCAGAACTGCGCGAAAGATTGTTTCGAGGGTGGCGGCGCAACGACGCCCGGGGTGGCTCCACAGACCTTCTCGCGCAGACCGCCCGCGTAAGGCCGCGCGCGGGCGCCCTCGTTCCCACGCGGCGTACCGTGCTAGCGTTAAATCGGGCGTGCCCCTCTACAGGAGGAATCTTGAAATATAGTAAGAAGCATTGCCCGGGGACGATGTTGTAAGTATTTGCTGGACTTTTTTGAAAGATCTTTTTGGAGTATTTTTATTTTTCCCTCCAGAATCCGCCTGTAGGAGGACATGCCCGACCTGATGCTAGCGGCACGCGCAGGCCACCGCGCGAGGTCGCCGACGAGGTGGGTTTGCGCCGTCGCCCAGGTGGCGGCGCTCGTGTGCGGCGCCTGCCCGCGGGCCGCGGGGCACTGTGGCGTGCGGCTGGCGGGCCGCCTCGCCCGCGCGCGGCGACGGGCCAGTTCCCCCCCTCCTCCAGCTCCAGCTCCAGCTCCAGCTCCAGCTCCAGCTCCAGCTCCAGCTCCAGCTCCAGCTCCTCCTCCTCCTCGTCGTCCTCTTCCTCCTCC